GTTTTGATTGGGGGGGGGGGAGTCTTACTTTAATGATATCCAGTCATAAGGCTGCGTTATAAGGAGCTGTTTCGGTTGTCGGCTCTCCAATCACAACAAAAATAAAATCCGGCTTTTTTTGAATGGAGTTTGGCTAATCATACTTTCCGCGGCTGCTTGTTTGCTTTAGTTTAGTGACGTAGTTTTCTGTCCGGATCCGCGCGAACTGGCCAAAGCTTCGGGGACACAAGGTAGATCCTCGATTTGGAGTATCAATAGGAACAGGTGCTCATCCCTCATCCTCATCCTCAGAGAGTTCTTTACATAACAGCAGTTATATCTGAGGTAAACGATACTGAAACCCGGTAATATGCCAGCTATGAGTACGATGTCTCTGAACCAAACTCCATTCAAAAATAAGAGTTTTTACAAAACATTTTTTGTAGTTTCTGCTCCTTTTTCTAAATTGAAACCCTAAAATCATTGTCTAACAGGTGGTGATTTCAGTTCAGCATGGAGCCAGTTTTAATTATCAATTAACATGAGAAATGACTGAGCGTGACTGACTCAGACAGCTGCTCTGTTCACACTTAGCCAGTTCCTTTATTTTGCTGCCATTCAGGGGCAGCAGTTTGTCAGAAAGCTAAACCACATGTCTCACTTCCTCTGAGAGGTGACAGATTACCAGTCTGCTGCTGGATGTTTATCGCCTGGCTGCTGGGTGGTGTGGGAGCACATGATGCTGATGGATGAAACTTTCCATGATTTGTTCTAATTTGAAATCATAAACAATTAATTTTGTTAAATCTCATTTGTAGTCAGTTCTGGCTTAGAATGAGTTCCTGCTAAAAATCTTGGTCCTGATCCACAAACTCTCAATGAGCTGTGTGTTTAAAGGTTTGAGTTTCAGGCCTTTTCAGACCAATTTAAAAAAATACAACATCCAGGCTCAGGCCAAATGTCAGCTTTGTCACATAGAGGACTCGGGTAGGCTTGGTGCCTGGTGGCGGTAGGAGCAGGAGTCCCAGAAAAGAAAGACGGTGGAAATGTGTTGTGTTTAATGTTGGAGGTGGCTGAATGTTGAGGATTCTTCAGGAGGTTTTGGTCCTGATCAGCAGAATGTGGTTTGGGTGTCGTTTACCTGTGATAGAAGGTGCTGATCAGGTAGAAACCAGGATCAGGATGGTCTTGTCTCCACTGACTCTGCTCATTGTGTTTCCAGACACTCAGCTGTTGGAGAAGACCAGTCTGGCCACAGGAATACTGAGCTGCTCGGCCAGGTAACTCACCTGAACACACCGGATCCTTCGCACTGATCTCTAACACACAGCGCATGTTCACATGTGGTGATGCCTGGGGTGTGTTTGTTCTTTGTGTCCAGACGTCCCTCCTCTGACAGCAGTGGCTGCATCTCTGCTCTGCTCCACCAGAACGACCAGCTGAAGAAAACTACAGGAGAGGTGAGACACTACAACAACACACCAGGGCCCGTATTCACAAAGCATCTTAGAATTCTCTCAGAGAGCTGCTATCTTAGCCTAAAAAGTCCTAGCTGGGAGTCCTAGACTAAAAGTGATTTAGGAAACTTCTCAGAGCAACTCTGAGCAAGGAAAGTACAAAAACTTTTATCTTATTGAGGAGGTGTGGTTGACTCCGTTGCTAGGGATGACGCAGCAAATCATGGACTGTGATTGGTTGATAAAAAATCATAATGTTTAATATCTTAAAGTTAATTAAAACCGTATTGATGCTGTGGTCCCTCTTTCTGTTCACAAAAACGTCTTCATTTTCCGATGGTGCGAATGTGCGTCCCATTAATTGCACCAACAACACTGGGGAAACCCGTTATGTCCATGAATACCTTTGTGTGAGTCTGCAGAGTGTGAACGTCCAGTGGAAATGAAATAGACCGTGTCACTATTTGAGACCGTAAAAGCGCTTCAGTAGTTTGTGCGATCACTCTGCTGATGGAAGGTCGTGACAGACACAAGTCATCGCTGCTGTACTGTTGCATCTTTCCGGTTGCCAAATACCTCAGCGTTGTAATCACTTTGATTTCTGGTGTTATGGCATTACTACGAGCGATGGGAGATGTGAGCGCACCTCTAATAAGGTCAACCACAAACATAATCCCATCGTGATCCAATCTGTAGCAGTTAATTACTCAGTCGTTCATTGTTTCGAGAATATTTCTTCTTTCAACCATTTTGTCCGCTGCTAGAGGAACTCTTAAGCCGCTTAAAAGTCCTCCTCTCTACTCTTAAGGATTTTTACCTTAGGAGCTGTTCTTAGGGCTAAGATGTTTCGTGAATCACTTTTATCTTTACTAAGATTTAGTCCTAAATTTAGGGGAAATTCTTAAAAAAAAAAAGTCATAATTCTAAGAGTTTTCTTAGAATTTCGTCACAACAACTTTTAGGCTTAGGAAGCTTTGTGAATACGGGCCCAGGTCTTCAGGGTGGCGCTGATGATTTTCTGTATGTTATCGACCTGTGAGTGTGGTGTCCAGGAGGAGGTGGGGGCTAGAACCTCACTGTGCTCCCCTGTCATTTAACTGCTCATTCAAAATTAAGCCAGCTGAAATTATGCCGTGTAACAGACCCGGGCCTTCAGCAGGGCAAAGACACAAGCCTCCCCAGGAGGGCGCTGCAGAGCTGGTGTGGGAAACCTAACGAGCGGTACATCCCGTACGTCCCTTAACCGTCACTGAGCGTAGCCTCTGGGGATGAATGCATGTACACACCCCCTCCCCCCTCATGGTCCTGGTACGTCTTTTAGTATTACCTCCTGAGGGGGGGCTGAAAGTTAGCTCCCAGAATGCAGCTTCAAAGTGGGCGCAACGTAGTGGAATGAAGTGCAGATCCCATGACGAGCGTTACTTGGCGCGACACGTTTCAGTGGGTTCCTTTAATGGAAACACCCCTAAAGTAGCCGGCGACAGCTGACCTTTGGTGAACCTGTAGTTCTGGGGTTGTGTTGAGCACGTAGTTCACACCCTCTGTGCTGATTGGACGCTTGTCTTCAGTCATTCTATGTACTGTCACACGTGTCACGGATTTCTTTCCACTTTATTTTTAACTTTATAAACATTGTGGAGAACATGGAAAACAACAGTCAGTGGTCCTCAGAGTCCAGTCTGAGTGAAAAGAGAACACACAGACATGTCTGTTTCCAACAAACGGCTGAGCACGGCCGTCATTTTGTACAGAGTCGCTTGTCTCTGCTCTGGCCCTCGCTGCACACAACAACACGGTGGAGCTGGTTGTTAAAAACAGATGGCCTCCCGTGTTTCCTGACGAGGAAACCTGCGCAGCGGTGTGGTTCACTGCGGGGGGGGGTTAATAGCTGGTGGACAGCAGTGGAGGTCTACGGTACAGAGTGATGAGCTGAACCAGGGTCTGGGCTCAGATTATGGTTAGGACACCACGTTCACTGCTGCTGCTGGTCTCTGGACGGGGTTGTGGGGAATCAGACACAGAGAAAATCACTGGTGCTACTCTCTGAGGGCAACAGTCCACTTTGTTCCCTGGCCTTGTTGTTTAAACCATGACCACAAACAGAAACCATGACCCAGTGTATCTCCCACTCAGTCCTCCTCACTCTTCTTCTGTGCTCCCTTTGTGTGTCTCCAGCTGGCCTATCAGGTGGTGGAGCTGCAGCAGAAGATTAGGATCAAAGAAAGTGCTCTGGACAAACAACATGCCAGGTGAGTAGCGTTCACACTGGAGTCTTTCAGCTCACCTGCCACCTGCACTGTCAGTGCTTGTGAACTGGTTCGTGCAGCCTGAGGCCTCACAGCTGATTGGTTCAGTCCGTTCAGGTGTCAGCAGGTCGAGGTGTGGTTAAATTGTTCCCTTGGAGTAAAAATTCAGATGTCATCCATGGGAGAGAATGGAGGCAGCAAGTGAGGGAATTTAAGATCAGAATTAAGTTATTAGTTTGTATGTTCAACTTCTATCAACAGTTTTTATTATGTTCTGAAAATATTCCAACTACATTATAAAATTAGACTTTTTCCTCAAACTTTTCCAACCTTTGTATTAAAATACTTGGACTAGTTTTTCCTGACACTGATGCTGATATTTTGCTGTAGCTTCCAAAAGGGAAGCTGCTGCTCAACGTTCCGACTGTGTGAGCAGCGCAAACTAAACTCCGTCCTCCTCTGTGGTGTTGTGGTGGAGGAGGATTGTTGAGCGGCCTATGTCTGTTAGCAGGCTGGTGGAGGAGGAGTGTCAGCTGGCAGCTGCATCTCATGCCCATCAGGAGCTGCAGGAGAGGGTGGAGCAGGTTCAGGCAGAGAACACGGCCTTGAAGTTGGAGTATGACAACCTGCTGGAGCAACAGAGGCGGGCAGAGACGAGACTCAGGGATGAGAATGACCGAGGACTACACCTGGTGGAGGACATGATCCACCCGAAACTGCAGACCGCGGCCCGCATGAACAGTCGCAATGAACGCAGGTCCAGGTGCCCGAGCACACCTGTTCATCACACACCTGTACCTCCGCTGCTGAAATCAGCTGATCTGATGATGATCAGAGTTGTGACATTAACGACTAATTTCTGTTTCTGTCAGAGCCCAAGCCATGAACCTGCAGAAGGAGCTGCAGACTGCTGCCAGGTCAAAGGTCACCTTGGACAGGTAAGATCCACCCGAGCTCTTAGTTAACACTCAGCTGTGCTTTACATTTCTGAGGTGCTGTCCTTCAGTTCGACATTTCACTTGTGAAGCCAGTACGCTTCCGACGTTTTCATGGGGCCTCATTGGTTCCTCTCAAAGCTGTGCCAGATCTGCAAATTAACGCCACGTGTCAGGCTTTTATTTTGGTAACTTACTCCCAGTCCTGTGTTGTCAGGACATAGTCTGGGTCTCTCATGTGTCTGTGGATGAGCTTTTGTGTGATGAAGGTTTAACCTCAGTGCGCTTTGTGTTTCAGCTCCTCCAGTGCTCCAACCTCCAGGTCAACATCTCCAAAGAAGCAGGACCAGGAGAAGTCCACGGACAGAAGACAGACTCGGCTCTTCAGGTCCGACACAAACACACCAGAAAAATACTGAGTCATGTTTGTGATGTTAAAATTGAATTCATCTTGTGAACTTGGCCTTCCAGGTCTGTTTCTCTGGATTGTTAGGATATTGCTACAGGGTTTCTGCAGGTCCTTAAGACATCTAACACCCAGTCATCTGAATGTCCTAAAAAGTCTTACATAAGACTTTGACAGGTCTCAAAAGTGACTGATCAGGTTCAGCTGATTAGTTTAAGTCCAGGTTACTTCTGTAACATCTCATTAACTTGAGTCGTACCTTTGTGTGTGATGGTGAACACGCTGAGGAGACACAGTAGTGCCGCCTGTGCTGCGCTGGCTCCATGCTGTGGTTCCGTCTTTCATCAGGTCACATTTATCAGCTGCAATAAAACTACAAACCAAACCAACCTGGCCAAACACCACCTGCTGTGCACCGACTCCTCCAGCACCACTAACACACCTCCACACAGACTCTGGTCTACAGCAGCAGCGAACTGTCGACTTTAAGCCTGCAGAAATCCAGTTTTGTTTTCCCACAGTGTAATGCTTGCTGTTGGTGCTTCTAATGTTGTAGAGAGCTAAACACCTGTTGGTACTATTGTAAAGTATGTGTTGAACCACAAGGACAAACACTTCAGACCAACAGTCTGAGAATCAGATGTTCTGTCTTTTCCTCAGGTCGGCGTCGGTTACATCGCCGAGGATCCTCACCACCTTCAAACAGCTATTTGAGTGAGTCTGTCTGGTTTAGATTTGTCTCTCTTTGGAATAGTAGAAGTAGCAGCCGGCTGTGGACTCGCCGAGCTGCTCTACCATTGCACCACTGTCACCACCCCATCGCCTGAACAGGGACTTGAACCCTGGACCCTCAGATTAAAAGTCTGATGCTCTACCGACTGAACTATCTGGGCCTATAAATAGATTCATGGACTTCAGAAAGTCAGAGTTACCCTGAGTCTGGAATGTGCAACATGTCTCTATGACTGAATTACTCCGAGGCAGTGGTCACAGTTTTAAAGAAGCCTAACTGCCCCTGTTAGCTGTGTCACAGCCGGCGCTGCTACTGCTGGTTTTGTTGACCTGATCGTGATGGTACATTTGGGAGCTCAACACTCTGACGTGAGCTTAAGATGTTTTGGTTTGAGGATCAGAGTTTTGCTACAGCATGTGAATAAATGCTACAGTGATGTAAGACATGAGCACCTCAACACATTCAGGGCAAAAACAGTTGGAGGCCCCCTGGTTTAGGTGCATTCTAGTATAAAACATGCGTTGTTTAATGGTGTGTGTGTGTGTGTGTCTGCAGCAGGAGGAGGCGAGGCCGCTCATTCTGCAGACTAGAGGAGGATCTGATGTGTCCTGTCAGAGTCTGTCTGCCAGCCAGAGCCCCTGCCAGAGCTCTACAAGTCCTGGTAATACACACTGTATTTCACTTCTGCAGCCCCGGTGAAACTGCCTGTGCTGCCACCTGCAGCTTATTTTGTTAAATGTGATCATGCAACCTAGCTAAAAGAGTACGGAGTAATTCTTAAACAAAAGACTGGAAAGAATTTTCCAGATGAGTGGTTTCCAAGTACAACTTCAGCAGAGATTTCATCCCCGTTTCTGTGGACTGTTGTGTGTAAATCTGTGAGTCAGATGGGGTTAGAAGGTCCCGGAAAGCTGGCAAGTGATTGGGCCTGTGGGGTGAGCGTCTTGAAGCTTGTTTGAATTGCAACCATTATAAAACCCTGAAGTCCTGAAGGACTGGATTTGTAGTGTGAGGGTAGCCACAGCTGTCTCGCTGTCCTGTGGTGGGGATCAGAGCTGCACGTGAGTCGTCACTGTCATGCACACACTTTGAACTATTTAATAAATGTGTTGCATCACCGTTTACATCAGTGGTTCTCAAAGTGTGGGGCGCGCCCCACTAGTGGGGAATAAAGACATGACAGGTGGGGCACAATGAACGGAGAAAATTAGAAATGGGTCATTAATACAAGTAAATTAAAATAACATCAGTTTGGGGCCCGGGAGAAAAAAGTGGAACCATAGTGCAACAATAACAGTTTAACGTCGGCATGTTAACTACTGCGCAACAATATAAGGAAACGTTCACACAGAGCGCCAATAGTGTACATAGTAGGTATAATAACATAAATGGATAAATTTGTCACAACGACCACAAAAGAAGGCGATTCAGCGCAAGCAGACAAAGAAACGACAGGCAGTAGCCTTACCAACCAAAAAGCCAGCTGGAAAGAAAATATGATGAAGCCTATCTTGTGCTTGGATTCACGGTGGGAATGGTGGGGGCAGAGGAG